GAGGCTACGACACCTCCCGTGTCAGCAGAATGACAAAATGCGAGTGCAAATTCCACTGGTGCTGTGCTGTGCGCTGCCAGGACTGCCTGGAAGTGGTAGATGTTCATACCTGCAAAGCGCCGAAGAGCACTGGCTGGATCTCCCGGACATGATGCACGGGGCTACTGATGCTTGAGGACCACAGACTTTGCCCTTCCTGGTCTGTGCAGATTCCAAGGTCTTCTCTACTTTTACACCAGTTTTGCCTTTGTCTTTCATTGCACAGAAGCTGCTGAATAAGCAATACACACTCTGGAGCATTTACTTCCCATTTCTGCATGTCAGTGTTCCTGCAGAGTTGTCTACGCATGATCTGATGCAGCTCTGGAAGGACATACTTCTGCTGGGACTCTTCCACCCAACATGCAACTCTCCTCCAGACTCCTTGTGGGAATTCATTCCTGCCTTCAGGAACAGAGCTGGACACAAAGATGGGGCATTTCGTACAAGATCACCACCAACAACCACATGGGCTGAGCTTGCTCAAGCATCTACCAAAGGATCTTGCGCTGGTCACAGCCGTGCCCTGGATAATGAAGTGGGTGAGGGTTTGAGCACCAGTTGGTGACTCCTCCGTGAGAGAAAATGTGAGGCCAGGCTGGGTGAAAGGCTTCACTTGAGATGTGTTTGCCCATCCCCAGTGGACTAGAGTTTGCAGTGAGGTGGCCACCTGAGGCCACCTCAGCCACTGCTAGCACGCTGCAGCTTCCCATGAGGCAGGAAATGGCTAAAACCAGTGGAAACTGCAGGACATGTAATCAACCACAAGATTTTCATCAGCTATTAAAAAGTCAAAGCAAATGTGTCATATATTTGTGAAAACTTGCCTTAAAAGCTTTTAAAAGGTCATTAATATTAACTGCTAAGTTTTTTTGTCATCTGAAGGATTAAAGAGATTTGTTTCTCAGCCCAGTGAGAGCTGGGTTTAGGACACTCAACTACATAAGGACAAAGTTTCCTATTTTTCACTTACTGAATAAGCAGAAAAACGTTTGCAGAAAGCTGATGGAGAAGGAAATACCTTGTCTCAGTAATAAGCGGGTTTCTAAGGAATCTCTAAACTTCTATGTCCGTCTAAATTTAATAAATTTATTAAACATGTTCAAAATTATACTTTCCATTCAGATGGAAGCTTCCAAATGAGACTCCTGCAAAAACTCAGGCCTATGATTAAGGGCACCTTGGCCTTTGATGGAGGCAGTTACAGGTTGCGCCTGGTCCATGTGCTGGGCTGGGATCCACACAAGACAACAAGGTGCTGGGAAGACGTGCAGGCTCACAAGGCCCTGAAATCACAGCCTCGCTGGGGAGAAGATGGGTCAGAAAGGGACCAAATGAGCCAAGATGAAAGATGGGTTCTGTGCTGTTAAGTCTAATAAGGCTCTGGAAAACCACCCTTGAAGTGCAGAGCCAGGCAAGGCAATGAAAAAATAACGTAAGGAAAGGAGGTTGGTTTTGTGATACTGTGGATGCAAGTGAAATTTCCATATGAAAATTAAAAATGTTGTGGAGTACAAATAATATATGAGTAGCGTATCAAGACAATAAAGTGAGTGTGCTAGTTATTTTCTTTATTTTCTTAAATAATATTTAAAAAGAATAGGGTGTTGCATTCAAAGATCTTGAGAGAGTAGCTGTTTATATCCGAAAGGCTTTGGAAAAAGTTTGTGTCATTAAAATGAGCGAGCCAGTTCCAGATGGCACAGGCAGCATTAAAAAGATTAGGAGGATCCAGAAAAGTATTTCTTTGGTCCCTGAGATAATGTCTCAGTTACTATATAAGGCATTAATGTAATGATCATAGCTAGAAGTAAGAATAAACACGCTTCTGGGTATAAATGAACTGCTGATGGGAAAAGCCCTGCCAGTGTGTTAGTGTACAGCATGTGCATCAAACGCATACACGTATGCAGTGCGTGTAGACACATACATGCATACATATGGATACATATATATATACACATACACACGTGCAGCTGAATAGTGATACTGTTGGCCTTATTACTGCTGGTAGTTCTGGCTCTAGGCTGGATAAGGAAAATTTCATATCTAACTGTATTTAAAGATGAGCTCCAAGGAGAATTTTTATTAGGATCTCACCATGAAATTAAATCTGCGGGTAGTTCGCAGCCTGAGCAATATCACATTTAAAGTCTTAAAGAACTTAAAAGCAGTATAATATTTTCTTTTTATTTTTTTTTTTGCTTTTGTGCCAGGTTTTTTGAAAGATTCAGGGACTCTTTGAGGAGTCTACAAGTTCCCAGAAAAATCAGGCTGCAAATATTCCAATTTTCTGGAAAAAAAGAAGCCTTGTTCTTACAAGGGAACTTGTTCTAGGTAATTGAATAGAAGGTAGTAAAATCAGATCATTTCTTAACTCCACCACTTGCTTAATACACCAGTGTCATTGTATTAAAGGTGGATCTTCTGTTCCCCAGCCTGGTCGTCCTCCTCCTATAACAAGGTACAGCTACGTGCTCCAAACTTTCCCCCAGTGCTGAAGGCTGGTAAGTGAGACCAGTAGGATGGTGGCTTTGACTGCCCTGTCACTGTACCCCCTGCCCTGCTCAGCAGCAAGCCCACCATTACCTTTTTTCTCTTTTTTTGTATTTATGATTATTCTTTTAAAAAAGGGCTCAAGGTAGGCTGTAAGCATTTCTGCTACCTCTTCCATGAAGCAAGCAGTCCTGGGGGGGGGTTGCTATTTGTCAGTGGGAAAAGAGTCTCAGAGATGTAAATGTTGCTAGGAAGGGTACCTCCTCGACTTTCATCTGATCAAACAAAGGAAAAAAAAGGGGAAAAAAATAAAGAGCCAGAAATCAGGCAAGGCAAATGAAATAATCATGTATTTTGTTCTATGGAATAAATTTACTCATGTGTTTAGTCATGAAGAGGAAACAGCTGTCCCTAGGTAGACATGCTAGTGTCAGAATAATGTTAGCTGAGGCAAAAGGTTGTAGAATTATTTTTTCTTAAAATATGCAGCCCAATTTTCTTTAGGGAGTTCCCTTTAATTTGCTGTATGAAATCAGAACCTAGCAGTGCTCTGAAACGCTGTTACCCTGCCAAGGTTTTTGGGACAGCTTCCTCCCCAGTATTTTCTCTTTTAACAAACTTTACCCTAAAAAAAGTTGTTGAGCTGTTTTAGGAGAAAACTAATGAAAAAAAAGTGTTGTCTTCTTTTACCACATGGAAAATGAGTAATGACTTTTAGGAATGGTGGTGTATGTTAGGGTATATGTAAATCTGCCTGGTGGGAGGTGGCCAGATTGACTTAGTTGACAGTCCTTGCGGGGGGTGTCTCTCCTTTTAGTTCTATGCAGGTCACAGAGCAAAGAGCTAACGTCCATCCAAACTCTACTGAGTTGTCTTTAAGAAAAAAAAAAAGGAACTGTTAACATTTGGAGTTAAAAAGCTCCCCCACCCCCTACTGCCCCGACCTGCAAAAATTCGGATGAGTTATTATCTAAACCAGATTTCTAGAAGGCTCATCTCCACACTAAGCCAGAGGCTTTCCATCATTATAATCACAGGCTGTGTTCACCTTTTGATCTAAGCCGCGCTGAACTTCACAGGAAACATGTCAGAGGCAGAAAAGCCTCAGGCAACAAACTCTGCCCAATGAAAAAGAAAATTCTTTTGTCTGCCTTGCCTAGCCTCCCAGATGCCTAGAATTATAATTAAAGCTGAAGAGATATTTTCTAGATGAGATCCATGGCTCATTACTGCTTATAAGGGAGATGGATGCTAGAAACAGTAGACATAGAGATATGTAAAGGTATTTTTGAGTTCCCAAAAATGCCTCACAGTTCAAGGGAAGGATCTGATTATTCTAGCGTTTAAGCATTCCTTTTTATCAGATTATTACAAATAGTCGTTCCCACACAGATCATAATTCACATTCTCTCTTCTAAGAGAAGGCCAAACTACTACCTTAGTTGCTGACAAATACGGACATTTGTATACAGCTAGATATGCAATGATAAGCAAACACACTCACATATTATGACTGCTAATCACTGCAATTTGTTCTTGTGAATTGTAGCGTATAGAACTTTGAAAGGTTTCTGAGGTGGCTGGGAATAAGCAGCATAGGACAAGAAGAGCTGGCTATGCCTGATCCTTCTAATTTTAACCAACCTTAAATAATTCTGACAGCGCCACTGTGAAGCAAACAAACAAATATAATTATCCCATTTTAGAGATAGAGATACCCAGGAGCACCCGCTGTAATGCTGTTGCCTGTGGCTGTTCTAGCAATCCAGCTGCAAAGCCAGGAACACCAATGGTGGCCCATTTCACGCCTCCACATGCTGCTCACCAGCAACCCGTGACCTCTAACTTCATCCCCCATTAGTGTACCCCATACTGATTTCATCATCACAGTGAATTGTTTCGCAGGAATAATGTCCAGAGATGAAAAATCTGTACGGAAAACCTCAACAGCGATGCACTTCATCAGTTTTAACACTGACCCATGGGGCTCTGAGTTTTTGTGTCCTCCCTCAGGTTTCACTCTTGCAGTTCACTTCCCCTGGTGTGGGGCTGTCTTTTTGCCTCATAGAAGAGCAGCTTTTGCTTTAACACAGCAGCACCATCACTCACTTGGTCAAAAGCCTTTCTGTGTTCAGGAGGCAAAAACCGATGGATCTCCTGCTATTAAGAACCACTTTCCTTTTATATCAACTCTAGTAATGTGAATTTTGTCTTTGCTCATGCATTTCCTCACTGCTAAGTGATCTGCTGGTGATGCACAGGCCCTCAAGCTGCAACCCTGAACTGGCAAAGTGGCATTTTTGAGTTTATGTTTACCTGGGAGAGGAGTTAAAAAAATTCTCAAGGAATCTGTAAGGATGCACTTCCCAAAGTTGATAGGCAGGATGACTTTGCTTCAGCTTCCAGATCAAACTCGGTCTTAGAGCTGGCCTCACGCATTAGTGAAGGTGTCTGCGGGAAGTTTCCATCTACGGTGGCTCAGGCATAAATGAATACTTTGTCTAAACCTCTCACAGCAGAAGAGTAAGATTTCCTGAGGTAAGCACTTACTGTCGAAACACTAAGCTTTCCATTAATTGTGCATGAACACCAATTTTGCTAATGAGCTTCTGGTCTC